TTTAAAATTTATTTATTTATTTATTTTTTGGTTTTTCTCTGGTACCGGGAACCGAACTCACGACCTTGAGCTTGCCAGGCAGGCACTTTTTCCACTGAGCTAAATCCCCAGCCCCCTATTTGCCTCTTTTTATTTAGCCTTCACCATACACTCACCCATGAGTTTGTGGATCTGATTAGCCCCAAAAAACTAAGGAATAGTATTAAGCTAATAACATATCCCATATTTCTGATACAACAGAATTGATATTGGTATAATGAACATAATATCCAGATTGATCTGTCAATTTACTGCACTCTCAATCAGAATACTAAGAGCATTCATCATAGGATTAGAAATATCATCCATAAATTTATCAGCAAGGACAATATACCAAGAAAAAATAAGGAATAGTAAGCAACCAAATAAAAGTGTTAGAGTAGCATGTATCAAAACATACAAAAAATACATATACTGAGAAACTTCAACATATTTATTAGTATAGACATCTGAAATAGAAGTGTTTATCGCAAAGAAAACACCATCAGTAACCTTTATGTATATGCCTTGTCAAAAAGGGATAAAAATATGCAATAATAAAAATGCAACTTTGTCAACAAGTGGTTTTGAAAAACTCGTCATTGATATGAAGACAGGAGAACTTCCTAAGATCACATGTAGCATATGTATACATTATAGAGTATGCTTTATTTATAGACAACATAAAAATAATTTCCGGATGGAAGTGTAAATCTGTTAAGCACAGTAAGACCGAGTACTAAAATCATATATCACATTCTTTCTCTCATACTTGAAATAGAAAAGACAGAGTGCTTGAAATGACATAAACTTTGAAGGGAAAATATTATGTAAGAAAAAGAAGAGGAAGTGAAAGAGTGAAGACATATTAAGAATGTGACAGGTTGATTGAAAAGAATGAATGCGTATTTTATGCATATATATTTGTTCTAAAATTAATCTTACAGTTTGGTGTGATTAATATTTACCCTTTTGAAAAAGACATGAAGATCATGACAAGCAGATCAGATAGGTCACATAAAATTGAAATATTAGTTAAGAAATGTAATGAAATGGATATTCTACAGGATTTTCAGAATTAGGTGATTAATTAATATATAAAAGTGCCTCAGAAGGTAGATAGCTAACATATTTAATATAGAGTATAAAATGACACTGCATAATATACAAATGACACTACCTGAACGTTACACCCCATTATATGCATAAATATTCCTTTACTCTGAAGTCAAATTGACATAAAAATACATAAATAGTGAAGGTCTTATAAAAGAAATAATGACAATGCTGGAGAAATTTTAGACATTGTGTGTTCCAGATACTGAAATAATATTATTTAAGAATATATCATTTACTTAAAAAATGTATTTCCCCTACCCATTGGCCTGAATCTCTTCTCTATTTAAACATCAATCTCATTCTTACCTAGAGTCTGCTTTTGGGGAAAATCCCTCTGTTCTACCATCCGTAGGACTTCTCTTTCACCTCTGTTAAAAATTAAACCTTGTTTGCAGTATTCTTCTCCTGTTCAAGGGAAAGTAACAAGGTGGATTATTAAGGTGATAGAAATAAATAATTATGCATTATGACAAAGTCTAGTGAAGTCTTCCTGGAATAAATAAGGTGATTGTAGGTAAAAAAAAAAAAAAAACCTCAGGCAACCACTTTGGAAATCAGTGGAGAGATTCTTCCAAAACTAGGATTAGAAGTCACATTTAACTCAGCCAGTATCCTTCTGGATATTTTCTCAGAATTAACAACATCCCAAGACATCTATAGAAGTGCACCCATGTGCACAGTAGCACAATTTGTCATAGCAAAATTTTGGAGAAAAACAAAATGCCCATCAACTGAGGAGTGGATAAGTGAAATGTGGCATTTTTATACAATGGAATATTACTCAACTATAAAGAAAGAAAACCTTGAGGCTTTTATAGGTAAATGGATGCAACGAAAGACCATACACATAAGTGAAATAAATCAAACCCACATGTGTAAAAACCATATTGTCTCCCCAGTGTAAGAATGTGAAAAAGTAAAAAAAAACTAAAAGGTACAAT